TGGCTTCTTCCGGATTTTTTCAATTATTATTTAAGTAGTCTTTCTTCTGGAGAGGGGGTGGAAAGCATGACCTGACATTAATTGAAAGGGAGTTTTTTTTTTTAAAAAAGTAATAGGGCAGGGAAGTTAAGGACTCAGCCTTCTAAAATAGAGATACCTTCTTGGCTTTTTCAGGTTGACTTCTTGGCGGGAGCTGTTTCATATTCATACATAGAAGCAGTAGTCTGGGCCTTTAATAAGCGTTTATGTGCTTTCCAGTGGTGTTTTTCTTGTACGTGAAACTGCATACGCTGGATAAAAACGAAGATCTGACCTTTTATGTGTTGGATTTTGGATGAATTTTTGTGTCTATTTCTATGAAATAAATGTACACACCAAAATCTTATAGTTAGTATGCAGTATGAGAGTTCTGGAAGCAAAGAAAAACACTTCCTAGAGCAAGAGCCTAGTTATCATTTATCTCTAGGTTTCCTTGTCTTCTCTGGAAAATACTGTTTTAAAATGTAGGAGTTCTTTTTGTGGATCGCTTCTTAATGTACCTTTGTATCTATTACAGTTTCTATGCACAGCTTACAAATATGTAAAGCTTATCATGTTTGCAATATACTCCTTGAAGATTCATAACACAGGTAGTGTTTCTTGGGCTACATCACAACACAGCAACTTTATCAGGTCTCTGCTTCCAGCTGACCTGCCTTCCAAAGGGATCTTGATGTGACCTGTGTGGTATCAAGTGGTGGAAATCCAGACACATTCAAAAACAAGCTCTGCCGATTCTTTTCTCAACTTCAAACTCTTGCTGCTAAAATACGCTCTTTACTTCTACTGTGAAGTTATAAAACTTTCACTACTGACAGTTGGATTTGTCATTTCTGACAGTAAAAGTTTTTGTAGTTGTCTTTCCATGTAGACATTGATAGTGACTGAAGCGTGTCCTACCCTTTTGTTACTAAGATAAATGAAATGGGAAGATGACCTCTTTTATTTCAGTGATATTTCTGAGAAGTTCTATACAGCGTATTTCAGGTACTTGGAGTGTTTCTTTGTTTTAGTGTTTCCTGTACTCTTTCCAGTAGTGGTTTAATCTTAAATCTGATTAATTGAAATATCCTGAATTACTTTAGAGTCTTTATTCAATCAATGAAATAAAATATCAGATGAGACAACTCTTTCACCTCAATCAATGTTGCATTTAAATATAATGTACTTCTCTAGAAACTTGTTTTGGCATTCCCTTGGTCCAGCAGAGAGAGCTCATTAGACCAGCCTTCGAATTCTCAGAAAAATCGACATCCTCAAGTTTCCTTTCTTATTTGACTTTTATTTTGGAGAAGATAAAAAACCACCAACAAACAAGCAAACAAAACATGCAAGACCGCTTTGTTAAGCATCAAAACATTCGGTAAAATTTCTTTCACAATTACTGGTGGGCAGTGTGCCAATAGAACTGCAAATCTAGTTTTAATGTCTTTTTGACAGCATAGATTTACTCTTGTGTGTGCTCACTCTGAGCTGTCTTCCCAGCCCCATAAAGGGTTCACTCTGAGTTGCTGTCCCTGTCTCCACCACCCGGTTCTCTTCTAGCACCGGGAAAATGCCGAGCTGTCCCCATGCTCCAGAAAGCAGCGGAGGGACCTTGCAGAGGCTAGCGAACATTTCCGGTCTGACACCCCAACAGCACGTGAGGTCAATGGATATCTCTGGAGTGGGCAAGGAAAAAGCTTGTGTTGAGGTTGTCATTCTATTAGACCGAGCAGATATGGGTCAGAATAATAAACTCACACAGTCAGCTGTTTGGAACTGGTGGAGTAGGAACTAACGCTTTCTGCAGTGTTAAAATAGAAGGTCCCCACTTTGGCTTTCTGGTGATTTCAGGTATTTATTGCTGCCCTGTGATGACTGAACATAGAACTGTTGTGGTTCTTTAGGATGCTTGTCCTAGTATTCAAGTACTTTAAGTTGTCTGTAATTTCTATTTTGATAGTAACTTACTCTTAAGTGTCAAAGCATTTATCTTTTTTCTGTATATTGATTCTTAAGTATTGGCTTTTTAGAAGTGTAGAGGAATGTATTTATTAATCTAACCACAATTTTAACTTGTTATATTCAGAAAAGTTTATTTTAAAAATGACCATATTAAAGTGTGGCAGAATAGATGAATTTTGGATTAAAATGAAAAAACACCATGAATGAAATGACACTATTTGGAGTGTTATGAAGTTATTTAGACCACTTAGTATGGAGGGATCTGGAAATACTTGAAGATAGTTGAAGGTAACTTACTAACCAAGTACTTGATTATTGAATCTATCGTTTTCTTAGGTGTACACAGATCCTGGACCTTTTTTTTAAAAAAAAATGGAATCACCTGTATCCTGCTAATCAAGAAACCAGATTTGAGTTCTCTATTCTTGTTTTTTTTTCTTCATCATTGGAAGAGTGCAGTAGTGGCTCCCTGTTCACTTCAGTAAGTATTGCTTTGAAAATAATACTCAGCTTGCCTAAAATCTTGTTGCCTTTAGCTATATTTGAGCTAGTGTATTTGCTGAAAAAGAAAGGATGCTGTTAAGGGTTTTGAGGGCGTGATTTCTTTCCTGAAGAGAGTGGGAGCATAATTTTCAAAACTGTAAGAAATGAGTTGTTGAAAATTGGAAAGGAATGGATAAAATAAGGGTTAGGGTGTATGCTTAAGACACCAATGAAGACAGGTTTACAAAAATAAACATTCTCTGCATCAGTGACTGGAGTTAATTTTTTTTCTTTCTTTTTTATAAACAAATAATTTCACAGCTAGAGATCTAGTCTTCTGGTTGTTGAAAACCAGATATTGTTCCAAGCTTTCATTCTGAGACGTGTTTATGAAAGCCCATGTTGACTGAAAAGCTTTTCCCATCATAGCTATATTGACGGGACAGGGATCAATGACACTTGGTTTTATCCGTTCAGGTAAAATACAGTTAGGACTGGTTGAAGATGGAGTTCTATGACCTTATGTGCCTCTTCAGAGGTCTTGTCGTCAATTATGTAATAAATTTCTAGTTATATTAGGTATGTCAAATTCCCGCTCCTAAATTCCATTTTCCTAACAAAGCTAGAGTTAACTGCCTTTGCACTTTGCTTAAAATGAAGAGAGTTGAACCTGATTGTCAAGGTTAACTTCCTTGGAATAGCATGGTTCATTAGTAAGGATACCAGAACAAGAGTCTACTTTGTGTTACAGTCAATGACTTGTGGCTCAGGTTAACTCCTTTAACTGCCTTGTTTTTACCTCTTCTTTTTTCTAGATGTCAGTTTGCTGCTAATGGGTGTGAGTAAATTAGATGTCTTGTACAGAAAGCTTCTCCTCACTAAACTTTTCATCAGAGGATGGGGAAAACCAGAGGATCTGAAAAGGTGACTTGTTAAAAAATAACAGCGTAAATAGTTCTTTATATTAAAAGAAAAAAACAACCCTCGAAGTGCCAACAATTGTTACTATCCTGTATTTTAAAAAAAAAAAAAGTGTTAAAGTTTGTTTTGTTCAGGAAACTGAACTGGATTTAAAAGAAGTCTTAAAGGGATTTGCTAAATGTTTGTGTTTGAAGAGGTTCTTCTTGAGACAGTATGTGTGTCCAATTAAGTTTTTCACTTGTGCATATATGGTAACATACTTCAAACCGCATCTCTGAAAAGTGTTTTCTAAAAACAAGTTGCTGAGTTTGTGCAGAGGAATTGTTCTGTTCTGTGTTACAGAGGATCTTGCTAGTTTTCTGTAACTTCTTAATAATAATGAGCTTTAAAAGTGTGAGATGTAATCTCATAGCCCAAAGTAGTAGACGCATTCTTTTACATGTCTTGGAGGGAAAAAAAAAGTACCTCTTCAGTTTTAAATATCTGCTGGTTTTTATGAGTTGGTACTAAGAGTAACACCTGGAAGTTGAGCACTTGCATTTCTTAGGTTTAAAACTTAAGTGACTGAATACATGTATTCTGCATCACGTAGTATTTAAACAGGAAATGATAAATGTGCCTTTAATAAGCTAATTCACATATATTTGAAAATCAATAAAGAAAATTTTTTTAAAAAAGAAATAAAATTATTTTCACTGTGGATAGCAGTGGAGTTATGTGAGAGTTTGTATTTTGTTTTTAAGTCCAAATGAAGCATCTCATCTTGAAATGGCACTTGGATTGCTTTGTCTGTCTTGTCTTCAGCTGATTTTTGTTTTAAGAAGCAGACTTTCCTGCAAAATGGGAATGTCGGATTTTTAAAATGTTTAGTTTTGTGGAAATAAGCAAAAGATGTGGGTTATGTTTTGATTGTGTTATGTCTGTATTCTGTTACATGTGTGTATCTGAAATGGGACATTTTTATGTTGTCAATACCGTCTCTAAAAACTTTTAGGTTCTTGGTGAGACATGATGAAGTTTGATTCCCCCATCTACCCCCAACTTCTGACTACTCCTGCTGTTGGCTATTGCCATACTAGGCAAGGCTTCTCTCTTGCATGAGTCTGTAAGGGTGATGGCACTCATGTCAAACAGCAATATGGCAGCATTGCTGGTAGTAGTAACTGTATCGGCTACGGCTCCTCTTTTCTCATAGGGGGAAAAATCTCTCATGAGAGTTCAAAAGCTGTGGGGGAAACGTGAGCCAGCTTGCTGGCCTAAAAAGTGAAAGAATAGTTTGTTCTGTGTGTTGCCCCTGAATGGGAAGATGATGAGCTGTTCCTGAGGAGCCTGGCTTCGCCTGGATGAAGAAGGAAGAATACTGGCTCCTCCTGACTCCTCACACTGGCTAGTGGGAGGAGGGAGTACCACTCCCTACTGTGCATGCTCTATCATGCCAGAAACAGTGTCAGCATTGTGTTGGGTTTTTTTTTAAGCTGATCATTGTGAAGCTCCATTAGAAGAAATTATTAAAGTTCTTATACTTCAAGCATTAACTGCGATTGACTCTGCAGCCTGTTTAAGTATCAGAAGAAAGCAACTAGATTTGCCCCTTAGCCTTCTGGTCCCCAGGCAATGCAAACCTTGTTCCCTTGACCTGCTGGCTACCCTCTTGCCAAACGCAGAGGGTGTGCCATTGGTCTTCCTGGCTGCAAGGATGTGCTGCTAACTCAAGTTCAGTTTGCTGTCCACCAGGAGCTCCATGCCTTTTCCTGCAGAGCTGCTACCTAGCTGAGAAGTTCCCAACCTTTACTATTGCATTGGGCTGCTGTGTCCTAGGGGCAAGATTTTGCAGTTTTAGTCTTGAACATTAGGATGTCTGTTGACCTATTCTTCCAGCTTATCCAAGTCACTCTGAATGGTAGCCCTACCTTTCAGCTATCCATCTCTCCCTCCAGTTTGTGTCGTTCATGAACTTCCCTAAGTGCTGCTAGTAACTTGTTTCCAGCTAGGCTTCAGATTGTTGGCAACTACACATTGAAGTTGGTAGTCCAGCCTGTTTTTCACCCATTCAGTCTGTATTGCCTCGATGTGGCTACAAGGATGTGTAAGTGTAGGAGGCTGCTATGGCTATTTGGCCCTGAAAAATGACATAAGTTTTCAACATATCAAGTGTAAAATACTATTTAAGAGCTGTGCAACTGCAAGGAATGCAACTGAGCCTTTTTTTTTTTTTTAAACTTAAAAACATTCTCATACACCTACCCTATGGTAGCCTGATTAATCTGTAAATGCAAAGCTGTCTTCATAACGTTTATTTTCTTTATGGCTTACTTTGCCTTCTGATTTTGTTTTTTTGTATATATCTGTCTATCTATCTTCTCTTTTTTTTTAGATTAAAAGTTGAATCTTCTCTACTTGTTTCCTTTCAACAGAATATTTGAATTCAGAAAGATTATTGGAAACAGGGAAAAATGCCAGACGCTGGTTTCGAAAGATTACCCAGTGTTCATTGACAAGGTACTTAAAAGCAAGAGATGATGCAGTTTAACTGAATTTATTTTTCTGATGGTATGTAAAGGTAGAATCAGCTTAGTATTTACGAGGCTTTTTGTAGGATAGGATTGTTGAATCCTGATGTCATGTGAATCTATGTTTTCCAGATATTTGACATTGCCACAGCATGACTTGCTGCTGGGATTAGCAACTGGGGACTTGAGTTAAAGAGTACATAGGGATAAGGTGGTGAATGCATGTCTGACAATATTCAGTTAGCTTTTGCTGATGACCAGTTTTCTAACAGGTGACATTAACTGACTTCACTGGTGTTCCCACCTTTTCCCATCAAGAAAAGGACATTAGAATTTATCTGTGAGGGAAGAGGAAGTGAGGCAGTAGAGGCAAAAGAAATCAATGTGGTGTGAATTCTCAAATGCTCTTGATGGGAAACAAAGAGGCCCTGTGCTCCCAAGTGAGGTATAATCATTGCCCCGAAGACTTTTTCAATCTACAAAGTGTGAACAGGGAGTCAGAAATGAAGAGCAGTTCTAAAGTCAAATACATGCACTGGTGGTCAATGCTGTGGCAAGCTAAATACTTTAACAGTTTATTGTTTTGATTTTTTTTTTAATTGTGCTGCTGTGGATAGAATTAGGAGGCAAAGGCAAAAGCATGAAACAAAGTTGGAAGGGATGGGAAAATGAGCAGTCATGTTGCCTACTAGAGGAGAATGGAAGGAAACAGAATAAAGTTGTGACTGTACAGACAATTTTATTTTTCCTCAGTAATACAATAGCTGGGGGGGATGTGATGTCAGATCTTAAAGCTCAAAAAATGCTTGAAACTTAGTATGTGTTATGGAAGTTATTTACAGTGGGACAGCATTACGCTTTATTCCTTCGTTCCTTTAATAGGTCATTTAATAAAAGCAAAGTTTCAAACATGTTTTGACTGTATTGCTAACGTGTATCCCTGTATTTGAAATAGACCTCAGATTTGGATTTTTTTAAAGTATGTTTTTATCCTATAACAAATTCTTCTACTTTGAGATTGGCTTTCAGAGCAAGTTAAAGCCTGATATGAAATATGCTGCTCTCATTCCATTCTCACTGTAGGTTGAGGAGCAATCCGATTGTAAAATCCTTGAGGGGCACTTCATTTCCCCGCTGGCTCATTATGTCCCAGGTATCCTGCCAGTCGAGTCTCTTGTAGCAAGGTAAGAGAAACCAAGTGGTATTTCCTTCTGAAACTTGTACTGCACAGAAATAAGAATGGTCTATATGTAGTTTTATTGTGAAGCTAATTTATTGTAATACCAATTATTTGTAAAGTATTTCAAACTGGTTTTTGTACTAATGTGTCAAACCAGGTTTTTATCTCAAAAGTGAAAATAAATCTTATTCATCTAATAGTTTAATCTGTGTGTAAATAATGAAGTCCCTATGCTAAGAATGTCCCTTGCTGGGGACTTTTTTTTTTGAGTGTAGAAATCATATTGCACAAAGCTATGGAATACCGGGTTTTTTTTAAATTATTTGTTTGTTTTTTTTCCAAATGAGCAGAATGCTGGAAATGAAGGATACTATAGCAAGGACAATAGTTGTTTGTTTTATACATGGCAGGAAAAGCTGTTTATATGAAAGAAGCATGTTATGTTGTATTTGAAGGCACTATTCGAGCCTTCCATTTACACTGAATACAAAAATATTGCATGTGTACTGAAGTAGTAAGTTCGTTTATTTGTAGCAAGAGAACCTGATGTCTTTCTTACTTGTCGGGCCAAATAGAAAGCATCTTCTCAGAAAGCTGGATGATCCTGAATAGTCAGAAGATAGCTAATGGCATTTTTGCTGATTTCACACTAACACTGCTTTACAGTTGAGGAGTGGATTTGGAAACAGAGCATAATTTTTGTTTGCTTTTAGTTTTGAGCTAAGCTTTCACAATGGATTTTTTTTTTTCCAAGGATTGTTCAATAACTTAACAATTAAACATAAAAGTTTGTCAGCTCAAGTTGATACTGGCATGTCAATTTTATCAATATTACTGGTTGGTATTTTTCTGTGTACTTAAACATGTAACAGTAAGGAATGTCAGAAGAAGTTTGATAGTTGAAATACCAGTTCTCTTCCACCTCTCCATTGGTTAGAGGAAGAAGCTGTCTCTGAACGTTATTTGCCTAATTAATGCTATACTGGAAAATATAGTATACTGATCGTTCCCTTATCTGTTCTCTTACAGTTTGTAGTCAAGTTATGTTAATTGTTGTGTTGGACAGTATTGTCACAGTTTTGAAATGCTTTACAAACTTCCCTCAAGATCGTTGTGAATTGTGTGAATGTTTTTCTCTGAAGTGTGACACTGTTGTAGGTAACAGTGCTCCATCTTGTGGGGAAAATACTAGTGGCTCAGAAGGGATATTTTTGTTCCCAGTAGTTAGACTGTAAATAACTTGAATGGCAGCAGAAGACATTAGGTGATTGATGTTGAGTGTATAGATTAGTTTAATGGTTTGTGTGTTGGGTTTTTGATATATTTTTTTTTAATTTAAATATATTGTTCATCTTAATATTCAATTTCAGTTGTTGTGCCCTCAGGAGAGAAATAACAGTGCTGCCTAGGAGAGGTAGTCGTACTCATTTAGGCTGCTTTTCATCTGAAGTTCCACTTCTTCACTCTGCAAAATTTAAATTGTGATGATGACATAGTGGTCTTTTTTAGGAACATGATCTTTCAGCTTGACTCCTTTTCTTGTTTGGCATTTGTTCTGTCCTACTTTTGGTTCCATCTTTGCTGGATGTGTTTATGAAAAATGATATTGCAGAACTACTGGCAGCTTGCCTGCTTGGATTACGAAAATACTTTATTCTGTCTCTTTTTTTTTTTTTTTAAGATTCATTTCTGTGGTGCAGCTTGTAAATACATACACTTACTTGGCTAAAATATGTATTTTTTTCTCATAGATTTCAGTTCATAATACCCAGAAGATGGAATAGCAAGCACAGACCTGTGTGCATTCATTTAGCAGGCACTGGAGATCATGTGAGTATGTAAAATATAAAATTGATTGTTATTGAGAAATTAAATAATCAGATTTTACCTTAACATATGTTTGTACATCTTATCTTTAGCACTTCTGGAGGAGACGCACATTAATGGCACGCCCAATGATTAAAGAAGCCTGTATGGCTTCCCTATTGCTAGAAAATCCTTATTATATCCTTTTGTGGAAAGCAAGATACTTATTCTCAACATTCTCTCCAGAAGGTAGAAGACTTATCACACTGGCATATTATCTATTTATCGATTTCCAGTGGGCTTTTCAGTGGATAGAAGCAAAGAGCAAAGTATGGCCATTGCACGAAACGCAGTATGGAACACAGTTAATATAACATGCCATTTTTACAGCAAACGTTGCTTTTCTGATTTTTTTTTAAATGTCTTCTACAGCTTCTTACTGTAGTCGTTAAAGTTCAGATATGAATCTGTGTACTGATCCGAAGCACTGATACAATTCCTTTAGAGTGAAAACTGTGCATTCATTCTACATCAAACTGTGTGACTTCTGGATGTATTAATGACAAGAGAAAGTCACCTGTTCTGCCTTCCCTTCTCAAATGCAACCCTTTGGTACCTCAGGTACTTTTGTGAAACTTACTGCTACCCTTTAAGATTTGGTTTTTTTAGTTCTGTCCTGTCATCAACTCATCAGTAGCTTCAATAACACCGTTATGCTATTTTATTAAATAGAATCTCTGGTTACACGTTTTCCTACCCATATACTTGGAAAAAGTAAAATCTTATGTTGCAAACTACATCATCAAACTACATTTAACTTGATGTAGTTCCAGTTAAATGTTTGGAATTTAAGTTCCAAATTTTAGTTAATCTGTGCTGTTTATGCATGTGATTTATTTTACTTTATTGTACTTTTTTTTGTTTAATTACCAGTTTTTATATAGAAATTTTTACTTTCTTTAACTTGAGTCTTCTACATGGTTGTAGAAAACCTAAGGATCAAGTGTAAGTATTACCGTTACATTCATGGATACTGTCCTTTCAAAATGCCACTTTTTTTTTTCTCAAGAAGCTCAAAGTAATATCAACTTTGATAGCTTATTAAGAAAAAAAAAAATCCCAAGCACGGACCACTTGTAACCTGCTAGTGTGAAATTGTCTACCCTTCTCTAGACTGCTTTGTCGTTGTTTGCGTTAAGAGATCCCAGTGATCAGGAAAGTTTGCACAAGATGAACTTGCAGTATAGAGTGAGATGCAAGCAAGTTGTGTGAATGCAAGCAAGTACCAGTTTATTTTCCTGATTCACATCATGCATGTACAAGTGTTGCAGTTACGTTTCTGTGGATAATCTTAGGTCAGATAGTGTATTTTCCTGTTACAATTGCTAAGATTTTGCTTTTCCAAGATACTTTAAAGATTTACAGTTAGACATGTAAATAAATCTGGTGTTGGTTGTTTGTTAATCAATGGAAACTATGCAATATTCAGTATTTTACAGGGCTTGTTCCCTCAGTCAGTTTTTTAAATGTGAATTTAGAAGCCTAATTAGACGGTCCTCGTTTTTTGCTTTTCACGTTTTCTGAATCACTGAAGTGTAAACAGAATTCAACAGGATCTGTGTCCAAGGCAAAGCTGTGGTTTTAGTGCACCAATATTTCTTAAAGTCCAAATACAAGTTGATGTTTTAATCCTAACTTGGACATTGAACATGAGTAGAAGATGCATAGAAAGTGATTTGTTTTTGAAAATGTCTGTTCTGTTAGGACAGCACCAGGAGCACTGTCTCACACTACAGCATTTTAGAGTTTCTAGATTTTTATTTAGATTTCAGCATTTGAATTTCCAAAATCTAAAAGCTTAAAAAAGTTAGTTTTAAGGAGAAATTTTAAATTCAAAAATAGTTTCTGGGGTTTTTTTTACAAAGCAGATGCTGAATTTTATATATTTTGACATAAGAACCACTTTTTTAAATAAAGTGAGTTACGTTTACCAACTAAGATGGTTGTTGTAAAGTTTCCTTTTTGATAGGAAAACTACTTAAACATATGTATTTATTTATTGTTGCATTTAGAAGGGTCAGGTTATAGGAAAGTGACAGGAGAGAGTGTGTGCTGGAATACATCCATCGGTGGTTATTTTTCCAGTCATTGAGGATCTGATGCAGAAGAATAAATATTTTGGCAAGGATATTTCTGTAGTAGTATATGCATGAGTAGAGAAGGATTCTTTGGAACGTGAGTGCTCTGACACCCCAACCAGTAGTTGTCACACTTCGATACAAACTTACAAAGCAGTAGCAGTGGTTTTAGTTAACATACTACTAACAGTGTTTGATAAATATAGCAGCTGGAGAGAGCTGAGGAATCTCCCAACAAAGCTGCAGGAAAGAATTCCATTAGCCTATAAACACTGGTCTGCAGCAGCTGTGTTGGTTTCTTTGTGGCTTGCACAGTAAGCTTTGTCCTTGTGCTGCAGAGTGTCTCAAATGTGATTGTGTGCTCCAGAAATGTCCAGTAGCCTTTTGTAACCTGACTGTGTGATCCTGAAAATACAGTCTCCTTCCCCAAATTGGAGTTGTATCAATTGCTCTGCAAAATACTTTTTTTCCCCCCACTTTTAGAGTCCCTCTGATGGTTCAGCTGAATAGCTTTCTACTTTTTTGTTGTTTCTTCTATGTTTTAATGCTTTGCAGTACACTACATGAGTTTCTCAGTACCGTGACAAACTTCCCACTTTACAATTTCAGTCTTACAGTGACACTGATGAGTTATTCCAAAGCTGACATACTGATTGCTCTTCAAATGTTGTGTGCAATTTTTCAATGATGTAAAGCAGGTAAATAAGGAAAAGAAAAAAAAAAAAACCACACACAAACAAGAAAAAAGGATTGTTTCTGCAAACGAGATAGTGTATGTCTAGGACTGTATTGCTTTGATTCTATTTCTGAAAGATCTGTTATAACTTTACAGGACCAAAGATTGCTACTAATGAGATTCTAATGTTGATAGTATCTGTTTCTAGAAGACAAGGCTGTCAGTGATATTACATTAGAAGCTTAGTAGGTGTCTACTTCTAGTCCTTGTTTAGATGAAAAAGTACAAGTGCCAGAGAATCTGGACTTGCTTTTTCTCTTGTTGAATCAACAGGAGTTCAGGTCCAAAATTCTCTGGGATTGTGATCAGACTTTGTATGAAAGTATATATAGAATGATGAGAACTGTCAAAATCTAATCTTAGAAAATAAATCCTATATTTTCCTTTTCTGGGGAGAAAAGACGGTCATGTTTAAAAAATGTCTCGGACCTGTTTGTGATGGGAGGAGCTCTTGTTCTAGAATCGGCAGCTCTTTTGCACTGGCTAGAGAGAGAAGGCTATGGACCACTAGGGATGACTGGAATATCCATGGGAGGACATGTAAGCTTTTATATTTCCTGTTCGGTAATTTTTGTTTTAACTTCTCATTTGATCATTTAGCGTACGGAAATAATTTGTTTCATAGTGTTCCTCTCAGAAGTACCTTAAAATAAATATTTAGAGTAATGAGAAACAAATTGTTGGCAATTCTCATGTTCTGTGGTGCTGAATTATTATAATCCTCAATAAGTACGGACAAATGATAGAGCCCTTTGTCAGCCATCTCCTGACAGACTTCATAAGAATGTAAGCTGCTCACCTAATTATGTTTTTCTCCACAAGGAGGTGGGGGGAGAAATGTATTCTGAAAGAAGGTCTGTACTGATCAATTGCTAGTTCTCCCTCTTTTCCTCCATTCTTCTTGCTTAAACTTGCCGTGGTCGAATGCATTGTATGAAATGCCTCCTCTTTGTGAGTGTGTTGTAATTGGGGTGACTTTTGGTGTCAGTTGTGTTCTCATCTTTTTTTCCCCGATTGTTGTTGTTAGAGAAGATTTCTGTGGTGAGGTGGATAGCATTTTGTGCATGACACTGCGTGTTCAAACTAAACCAGCAGTGTATTAGTAAGGTGCTTGAAAAACTAATACACAGTTAAAATATTACTGCTTGTGTCTACACATAATCATTGGTCTGTGAGACATAGGTACAAAGCTTATTAAAACAACATACCTCTGTTTTGCTCATCCTTGGTTTTTTTTTTTTGTTAGGAGCTAAGTAAATAATGTGGGTAATGGTAGCGCCTACTGAAAGGGAAATAATTTTTCCCCCACAGCACAATTTTATAACTCTAAATGTCGTTAAGTGTACAAAGCACCTTTGATTTATGTAAACGTCACCCTGCTGAAATGGCAACTTTTGTGTTAAACATGTCTTCCTTGTCTTATTTGTAAGTTGGACTGGAATTCTCAAACCATTATATGCCCCATTAACCGTGCAGGACATTTCAAATGCTGTGGGAATAACTGAGTACTGTATCCTATACCCATGGTCATATACAGCATGGCCGGAGGAGGAGGCAAGGTCTGAGAGAGTGAGTTTGGAAGCTCCTTTGAAATGTTTTTTCTTAGTCCAAGAATGTACTTTTTTGGCTAGTCCTGACTGACTTATAGGACTTGTACAATTTAAAACCAGGGAAATAAATCCTTTTTTATGTTGATAATCTTTAGAATGTGTGTTACAACAGAAGATAGGTAGCATTAATTCAGTTCTACTGATGGGGGGAGCTGGAGCTAAAAAGAAGTGAGACTTTCTGGCTATTGGAGTGTAGATAGATATGTGGTGTTCTTGTAACTTTTATTAATAAAAAAGTATTAGAGAAGAATTATAGTTCAGTCGTATAAATCCATTTACTAGAACATTTGGCATGGACATGAGGTATTTTTCATTAGGGGGTTTATGCTGTTTTTCAGTTGAGAGCAACGAAATAAAACTTGGCGAGAGCATACCATATAGGGAACTTCTGTATGTTGAGCTGCTTTGCTCTGTTTTCCTCTGGGATAAAGCGGATAGTCTCAAAAATATGTTTTAAGAACTAATGTAAACTAATAATTTAAACTTTAAAGGACAGAAGAAGAGTCCACTTAACATGATGAGTTACTTCTCTTCCACATTTTGTTTCCAGTATGCAAATTTAAAAAGTGTAGAATTTTAAATAGTCTTTCTGAAGATTGCCTTCATTTTGCCTTGAAATAAGCTTGCAAGAGCTTGATGAAAAGGCTTTTTAGATGTTTTTCCTAGTTTTAAACAACTGAAAGGTTAGAATAAATATTCCATTGGGAATTCTTATAACAAAAACCCATTCAGCCTTGAAATTAGACCTACCAGAGCATTGTTTATTATTAGGGAAATCACTGAAATATAGACTGTATCTCCTAAATAGATGAAATATATCCAACCACCCCAGTCCTTACTTTGTCACTGCACGTTTGTTTGATACTGCATAAACAAGTCAATTAAAGTGAGAGAGTTTTTTACCATATTGTGCATTCGATATTAACATGTGTAATAAATGCCTTTGATTGTAGATGGCTTCACTGGCAGTGACAAACTGGCCTAAACCATTGCCATTGATTCCGTGTCTTTCCTGGTCAACAGCTTCTGCAGTCTTTACTACGGTAATTAACGAATATTTTTGTTAATATACTAGAATGTGATCAGTTATGTAAGTTAAGGTTTGTGTTGGCCACATTCACCTTTTCAGTTAGGACATTTCATCACCCATCAGCCTCTATTAGTGAACTAGTGGCAAAACCCACCCTTCCTGCTCAGGATATACAAGACATGACAAGGAAGGTAGCGTGGGTCATGTACCAAATCAGGGGCTGGGGCAGGTTTGTGGGACAATGAATTCAGGTCCTGAATTTTCAGCCTTGAAAACATGATTTCTTCTGCTCAAAGCCTGCTGAAACAGTTGGGTGATGCTGCTGCTACTATGAGGGGTACATGTTTCCACTACTGCTGCCGGGGCTGGTGAATGAATAGACTGCCTTTGACACCCATCCTTGGTTTAGCCCGGTCTAGATGTGTGTAAGCCCTAAGTCAGACTGTTTTCTGCCAGCCTTTTTTTTCGTTGTTTTTTTTTTTTTCGAAGGGAGATGAGTTTCCGTGTCCCATGTTACAATATGTGCTTATGCTCTGGTTACAATAATTCTAAGGGTTATGTGGAAACTTGGGCAGAATTCCACTGGGAAAATCAAGTCACAGAGAGGAACAGATCAGTTTTCTCTATATATCATTATTTTAGAATGATCTCTGGGTTTTACTTGTGTACTGGACACTTGTGTTTATAATCTCAGGGTGTGTTGAGCAAGGCAGTGAACTGGAGAGAGCTGGAGAAACAGTATTTTACGCAAACTGTTTATGAAGAGGAAATCATTCAAATGCTTGAATACTGTGGAGTAAGTATAGTTTATTTTCCCTATTTGCTAATATTTACATGTGCAAATCTAACAAATGATGTGACTTCTTTTTAATTCCAGTAAAATTAGCTGATTGTTAGCTAAAACATGCTTACCTGTTGTTTCCTTACGCTTTTGAGGTTGAGGAAAACCTTCTAAAAAACAGAAACTAATATTTTGGTTGTATAATGTGTGTTAAGCGTAGCCCTTGCTACAAGTTTTTTCTGTCACCACACTTACTGTCATCTGCAACATAAAATGAATTTAATCAAAACATTCAAACTGTAGATACTGTTTCCCAGTCACTAGCTTTATAGTCTGGAAAACCAATAGCCTGGCATGTAAATAAAAACCATGACTTATTGCCCTTTGAAGCAATTTCTTCCAAATATTCAATGCTGTACAATATTTTTAACATGTAGCATAATTAAGTTACTTTCCTAGTTTGTTTAGAGTGCTAGGTGTCTCTCTCTTTCCATGTGTGATGCTAGCCCTCCCTCAGCTTTAGATTTTTCTTGCACAGACAATTGGGATAAACAAGAGGTGGAGCTTTTGTAATTAGCTTCTTGCTCCTTTAGAAATAGACTTTATTGTCTGCATGAGTTTTCTGCTTTCTTCTTGACTCTTTTTGATTAGGGTTGGAAGACTATTCCCAAGGGGAATTTCGTTGCCTCACTGGTCTTTTAGATTGGAGTGATAACTTTTTGAGAATTTCTTATATGTTGCAAGACTGTCTTCTAGCCAATTCTGATAAATAACATTTTTCCTACGATTCTTTGTTTTGTGACAGTCCTCTTTCAGATACCTTATGACAGGAGAAGAGGGGCTGGGGTGGGGATAGTTAATTAGGCGCTTGCCATTTTTTATTAAAATATACTCCAGGAACACCGATGGAGCAGACAAAATGAAAAGAAGAAACATTTCAAGATGTTCAGCTTGTGTCTTCCTAGTGTTTAGAGACAGTAGATTTTTCAGTTCTAAACCTAACATTAGACTCGGTCACATATGTTTATCACTCAGAAATTTAAGCTGAAATGACTGCAATTATAAATTCAGAGTTTAATATAGAATTAAAACCAAATGTTTGTATCGTAAGCTACCATGTATAAGTACTTCCTGCATTTTTTAAGCTGACAGAACTGTAGAATAAAATTATCAAGAGCTGATGCTGATCAGGATTTAACTGAGTGACATGCAGGCTGAAAATAAGTACTGTGAGAAGTCCTGTTTGTATTTTTTTCTTTCCTTTTTTTTTTAATATTGAATTGATCTTAAAAATAAGATTAACCAACTGGTTTAAAGGAAAAACACTTAATAAATGACCTGTTGTCTTTGTTTAGACAGATTCTTTCAAGATGGGACAAGACTTTGTCAAAAACTTCCCTGACAGTGTGGACAGTCTGGAGGATGTGGACGTGACTTCCAGAATGTTTGATCTTGATTCCTCAAACCAGACTGTACCTAAAGAAGCTGTTCATAGCTTTACCACAAATAAAAATACTCTAAGTGCCTCATCAGAGAGACTGTTGATACAAGATACTCCTAAAATGCAGTGCATAAATCAAACATTTTCAACCGATTGCAATAGCAATAAAAACTTAATCAGTCCACAAGGACACAGGATAAATAAAAGAAGAAAGAGTGACACTTTACAGAGAGAATCCTTAAGGTTCATGAAAGGAGTCATGGATGAATGTACCCATGTAGCTAACTTCTCAGGTATGTATTTATTTGTTTTATTGTGCAGGGCCAACTAATGATGAAATAAATTAAAAATTTGCCTTTCAGTATCTTTGCTCATTTTTTCTTTGTCTTGCTGTGGCTATTTTCAGATACGAGTTAGTGCAAACTTTTGTTATTTGAAAGAACAAAACATCTGTGTGATGTGAGTGATATCTAGATCTAATTTATCCGCTAAGAAGGTTTTTCAAACAGATTCAAGTAAGTGTCATAAAGCAGAAATATGATGTTGACTTCAGATAGAAAGTAGTCTACATGGGTGAGAACCAAGCTTGAACGACACTTTTAGACAAGTGTGACCAGTAAAAATGCACAGAGGTCTGGTGAATATAGTGTTTCCTGATGGGTGTAGCATACAGAGGGAGGTGTAGCCCAGTGAGCCTAAAATCTGATGAACCTGGATTTCCTGGCGTCTAGGACAAATTCCTTTCAATGGCCCACTTCCAGGCAATGCAAATAAGAGATTTCTTCCTAGAGCTGGTTGGAAGGGTTTTGCTGGAGTGGAGGCTTGGAAATGATTTTGTGGCAGTTCATTCAGACAAAATGGTTCAACTGTGCACATTCCCACTGAGGACTCTCAACATGTCCTAGAACATACTTTGACTTCAGACAGATTTCTGACAGAATTGTCTTTGAATATTCAAAACATTCTTGATACTGAGACCCTATGCCACCTAATTTTTTAATTCTGGCATTCAGTACTCCACTGGTAAGTGTTAAAAAAGTAAATGCAAAGGTTTCTACACTAGTATAGATTTTTTGACTTGGACAATGTCCCAGATCACCGCTAGCTGGGGACGTTTTGTGACAAATACCAGTGAAGTGCTTTCCTGGAAGCTTTAAAAGTTATTTCAGTAGACAGAAAAAAACCTGTAAAATTTATTCTAAGTACAGACGTTGTTTATCTAGACACTTACCCAGGTATCACTTAACTAAAGCATCGACCTTTGTTGAAACTTAAGAGGATCTGTGATCCTAATGCACTTGTCAAAGTGATGTAGTCCTTTGCGTCACTTGTCTCCCAGGTCTCTTCATGTTCTGGGAGACATGGCAGGTGTATACCTGCCAGAGTGTCCTTGGAGTGTGTCTAGAGAGAAGTTTCAGAAAATCTGCCTGACATTCAGATTTCACGGAAGATTGAATTGAAGACTAGAATCTCTCTTAGCGTTACATATCCTTTATAATGATCTAGTATATATGAAAGGAGAGGATCTAAATTATTTGTGACACCCATTGTCAAACATCTTGTCTGGTCGCTCTTTACCATACCACACACACTCTTTGTGAAGAGAGAACTGCTCTGTGTTGAACATCGTTTTGGTGTTATTCCTGTTCGTAATCTGATGGGTGCAATTCTGGTTACCAGTAGTAACTATATATAACAATATGTTGGGATTTTTATGTTGTAACTAAACCATCTAGGCAACAGCAAAGAAAGTGAACATATACTGCACTTTGACCTCTCTTATGAAAAGTTGTCTTTTTCCCTCTCCTTGAGGAAAAAAGTTATGCGAAGCTTCTACTCAGTTGAATTTCAGATATCTCCTAGTAGTTTTCTCTGAAAAAAGAGACCTCAGAGAACTGATGTGAGTGCGATAGGGTTTTGATAAGAGGCAAGACAATTCTCCTATCATTCCTCAAAGACTTGTGAAGTTTTCTGCTTTAAGGGAGGGAAGGGGATTGATTAGTTTGTTTTTATACTGATGGCCTCACTAGTGTAGTGTCAAAAAAAGAGATAAATTCTTCTGGAGGCTTTAGAAAATATAATTTTATTACAGCTTAGAATAATTTAAATTTTTTTAGAAATAGCATTTTTACAACAGAAATCTCAGCTGACATGTTTCTATTTCTTACCTTAGATCAATTCAATTTAGGTTTGTTTTTCTTTAGTTCCAGTTGACCCAAGTTTAATCATAGTTGTACAAGCTAAGGAGGATGCGTATATTCCTCGAACTGGAGTGCGCAGTCTTCAAGAAATCTGGCCCGGATGTGAAATTAGGTATCTGGATGGAGGTCATGTCAGTGCCTACCTCTTCAAACAAGGACTCTTTAGGTAAGGCAAACAGGAAAGTTTACAAATAGTTGAGATCTTAAAACCATAATTTTGAGACAACTAATGTTTTTATTCTAAAAACAAGTCTATACTTACTGTAAAGCAACAAATACCAAGTACCGCTTTTAAAAACAAGTTATGGGATCTGAAATAGTTTGAAGAGATTGTCAGCATTTCCATTTTATGAGCAAAGATGAGGTGCAGCGTAGCTTGGATTGTTCAGTAAGCCAGTGGCAAGAGAATGATCCTTCTCACTCCTGTTTTCCTATAAAAGCTTTCAGTTAGTTTGTTCACTGGACACTAGAAAATATTTTTTAAGCAGTGACTGCTTATGTTGTACTGCGGAGATGTTGTCTTTTTGCAAGTGTTGTCTTCTGAGAATTAAAAAAACCTGCACAATTGAAGATGAGAATTAAAATACAAGTTTGACTGCAAACGAGTAGTTCTCGCGTGACTTCTTGCCTTAGTAATAGTAGACGTTGACTTTTTGAAGACAGTTCTATAAATCAGTTAGATAAACGCAGTTCCTTAGTTTTAAAAAGTGAAATACTTGTGCTGTTAATTTTAAAATATAAGGAATTAGTAAGACTGTACATCCCATTTAGGAAGTCTGAGCAACAAAAAGGAATAGCAATATACAGGGTCAAAATATGCCAACCACTAGCTTATTGCTGTTTAAAACTTTAGCCTGGTTTTATGACAGTTGCTCAAAAATTATAAATTACATGTCTCTCTGACCTGTTTTCTCACATTTGAGTAGAAAACTCCTAAGCCATTAACATTTGCACTTGTATTAAAGTTGGTAAACAGTCCCACTCATTCCTGAAACATAAATACATTATTGAAGTGAGAGATCCCAGAAATAAGTGAAGGAGGAAAGACTACCTAACATCACGTTTTAATTGAATGCTGTTTGAAACTGTGATGATAGCTTCGTAAATATATTTGTAAATACATGGAAATAAACCACTTATATCTACCCCTTACCAAATTATACAAATGATCTTTTTTCCTTGTTTTAGACAAGCAATTTATGATGCATTCGACCGCTTTCTTCAGAAATATGCAGTTTAAAAATCTTCATAAGGTATTAAAGCTGATCTCATCTGTACTTCTGCTTACTGGAACTCATACGTGGAAAACAAGCCTCTTGCAACGTTGAGTAGATGGTCGCTGACTTTGACTGTTGTAGGTAACAATATCAAAAATGGTTAAGTACCAGCATTACTTTCATATCAACCAAATGCCATTCACTTGCTTCAGCTTTACCTGTGAAAAAACAATGGCAGCATTTGTTAGTGCACGAATGGTTCATGTACTTCATGTTTAATCACATTGTATATTCCTTTAATTCTGAATAAATTCTCGATCAGGTATTAGTTGAAAACAGACTAACTATTGCAAGAATGTAAAATTTTCTGTGGGGCTAAGATGCTGTCTTGTGTTCAGTGTATTTCTGGTTTGTTCCAGGTATCTTGTTTTCCTCTTGCTTCCTCATCCCCTTGTGTTGTACTATGGCTTTGCCAGCACTCGGCCTCTTGTGTTTGTCGCTGTTTTTCTCTGTTATGGATTGAAAATGAGCTATAATAGAAGGGGCAGGATCACATCTTGCAAAAAGAGACTTTCCAAATTCAATGAAGAATGAGAGACGTTTTCATTGAATGTGTCCATGAGATTTTTCTACCACTGAATCAAACTGTGCCATTTCAGAAGAATCATGTAGCAATTCATTGATCAGTTTCACCAAACCAGAATAAGTGAAAATGGAGTGTCTAGTAATTAATTTTTTATGTGCATTTGGTTGGATAACATAAACTTTTTCTTCTGGATTTTTTTTTTAGAATGCTAGAGGAAATAAAAATGTAATAGTTTTTCTTTAGAAGCAGTGGCACAAAGAGTCTGATTCTAAGCAGCTAAATCAGCAGCAGATTATATGGTGCTATAAAGACCTATTGGAAATATTTCAAAAGAGGTCCTTTTAAAAGTGCACTCAGTGCTGATATGCAAAATACAGTTTCACTGTATAATAATAAAAACGTATGTGAGACTAGGGGTTATCAAAACAGTTAGATTAACTCCTTATTTTTCAACACTTTTTTTTAATAGGAAAATAAAAAAAAATCAGGATTATGAACACATTTAAGAAAATTCAAAGTCTGTTGTTTCCTCTTTTGAGATCAAAAGTGCCAACAAATTACAGTAGAATAAAAGGTTGTCATTCATCAGCTGTAGATGGTATCTGTCCATATCTTATTTTGCGGTAATCTCCTGTAACTGTTTTAAAGCTAGTTTGCAGAGGAGTTGAAAACTGAAACGCTTCATATTAATTTTAGTACAGTGATGACCAGAGTTACACAGAAACAAACAGAAAAATCCAGCCATTTCTCGGGGTGTGTGACTTCTGCACCTTTCTAATCAAGCACTTCATTGACCACCGTGATTATCATAATGGTTTTTAATAGGCAGAGTATGAAGTAAACAAAGCTCAGTTTATATCAACATACTCTCTTGAATTTTAGTCTGGCAGACAGGACTAGTAACTGGGAAGAAATCATGGTTCACTTGAAAATCAGATACGTTCAGGTAAAACTAAATTACAACTATTTGTAATAACCCAAATTATTTAATGTACATATTTACTCAAAATGCAAAAGAAGTTGTGTTCTGTTGAAAGTTAAATTGTTTCAAGTGTTTTTTTCATTATTTCTTTAGACAGTGTTGGTTTAATATATATATTTTATATATATTTATATATTTAATATATATATTGGGAGCAAGCGTGAAGTGACTAGCACATTTAAACATTGTAAACCCTTGAATGTCAGAAGGTTTGAAATCAAATATAAGTAAGCTCACAAATTTAAAATTGAAGGCTTGAATACTATAGTAAAAGATTTACAAGGTTTAGGTTTTACAAGCTCGTTCATCAGCTAAGTGTTTTAGACCATTGACTGCTGTTCACCAACTTTTTTAGATCTCTCACTTTAAATGTATTTGTGTGCTTCATGTCTTGTTTCTGTTGCAGCTGTCAGAAAGGGAGATGACTGGTGGCAAGGGAAAGGGCTTGAATAAATGGAAAAGACAGATTTTGTAAGGCGAGGAGTAAGCACAAAAAAAAAACCCCACAACTTGTCTACGCTACAAAGTATAACATGCCAAAGTAAATATTTTCAAAGCGCACAATACTAGGAATTACACAACTGATGGGAACTTGACATCCTGAGGTTAGTGTTCTGATGGTATTACTAACAAGGTTTAATGTGCCAAAAGGTGTACTACTCACAGAAGCAGATTTGTGCTAATGTAACTCATGTTGGGATAAGTAGTGAAAGACTGGTTTCTGACAAGAGTGAGAAATCATGCTTCGCTATGTAACTAAAGTAGTGTTGCCAAATACGAAAGCCCAGTAAGAAGCATTTAAGAAATTTCTCAGGTTAAAATGACAAAAAGGAAAAATGAGCCCTGTCGTCTACTTCTGCCACTTATCAGACACAGGATACTATTAGCTGGTCTGTGAAGAGGAGAAACTTGCTGTGTAAATGTTTTTAACCTTTGGAAAATTGACTTTTTAAAGCAGATTTTAAGGTTAAATCCTAAGAAAGCACTATTAATAATCCGTTTTGATGTTAAATGAGAATGTGATTTTAATCCAGCAACTGCATGAGAAAAATATTGGAATAAGGTTCATGCACTAAATCCAACTAGCAGGTAAGCCATTCTGTATGACTTCAATTTATTGTAAAACTGGCCTCGATCATTTTTTGGTTTTAATGTTTTTCAATAAAAATCCTGAAAAAACGGTTAGGTGTGAGTTTTTTTTCTTTCTTGTTAACAGGAATTCAAAATGCTTCTCCCTGTCATCGTGCAATCCTTTCTATTCCTACTAGTACTGTAGCACAAGAAGAGTAGTTAATCTACAGTACAAGATAAAGCTTCTCACAACAAACAGTGATGCCGCTTTCGTGTTTTTCTACATGCAGTACTTAGGTAAAGAAAATAAGCTTGTATCATCTAATTAAGATACCATTGTGATTCCAGTTTTCTACTTTCCAGTGGCTTCACTGTGTTTCAATTTCCCTGACTGAATTGAAATCCCTTTTTACTTTTAAAAGGGTCCAAAATCTGTACAACTTTTTCCTGCCTGCTGCTGTGTTCCAAGCAAAGGTGTGTGCTGCCATAATAAACTCAGAGCATATTGTAGGACTATCCAGCAGTAATTGAAAAAAATCGCTGTTGTTGGTTGCTCTTGCAAGGTGGGAAGGCGCTGGCAGGATTTTGGAGTGCTGCTGCCACGGGAAAAGGAGGCTATTTCATCGTCTGCAGCAGTCTGTCATAGGAATGAGAATATCACACGCTAGCTGAAAGGTTGCTTTGGACAGATAGCTGCAAATGTTACTGGCAGGTGTGTCTTTGAGTCTTGGTGGTGTTTATTGCCAAAAAAAGAAAAAAAGTCTTGGAAAACTGTTGTGGCTTACCCTGTGGCATTGGAGCAGTCATTCTGACTGATGCCTGCCAGTTGTACCCAGCTGCCAAGACACAATCAGTTATATTTTGGTGCTCAGTTACGCTGTTTGAAAAGGGAAGGCTGTAGTAACACCTCTGCGTAGTAATACCAAGAGTGACACAAGATGAGGAGGACAAATGGACAAATGGAGAGGGTAGTGGGTTTTGTCTGCATTTGAAAGGGAAGGGATTTTTAGTATTTTATTTACATCTTTCTCTCCTGGTGCCTAAGCACTGATCTAGAGCAGAACTCATCTAATCATTGTCAAAGGGAGCTTTCTGTGATATTTTGTTTTTTTCCCCAAGTTTGAAAACCACCCTCCTCAAAAGTGACTGCTCAGCAATTTTTTTAAGCAAGGATAGATCACTTGTGTCGTATTACTCCAGAAAGACTGCAAAAGGTACCATTATATGAAGAAATGGAGTCTTGTTGCTTTTTCTTACTGGAATGTCATATGCACATATATAGATGCTCTTTAAACAGCAGATTAGAAAGTGAAAATCCCTGGATCCTCAAAATGTTGTTTTTGCTTGGTAGCTGCTAACGTTTTGAGACAGCTGTTTTTTTTTTTATTTTATCTTACTTGTTTCTGTCTTGTGTCACTTTTTAAAAAATGTTGATCTTAATTACGGTTGGTTGGGCAGGGAAGTTTCTTTATCTTAAACTGTCAGGTTCTCTGTCAGCTCGGCTGTAACGATAAGTTACACAGTATTGAAAGGAGGTGCGTATAGTCTGTAGGCATGTAATTCCCTCTGCAAAACTATTACATGAGTAAAATGCTAACGTATTATGCAATCCTATAATTTGCAGTGTTCCCTGGTACATTTGGATGCTTCCACACAAACATAAGCTTTAAAATGTAAAGTAGCTTGTAATGATTGCTATTCTCGAGGTTTCAGTAGTATAAATCAGCTTCTTTTTCAAATACAAATATTTTAAATAGTCTTAAAGGAAAAAAGAGTGAGATTTGCCAAGGAAGTCTGCCCTGCCCTGCTAGAAAGTAACGAGGGATGTTACAAAGGGGACAAAGAGTTAAGGATGAGTCTTACTCTAAAAGCTTTTTATATACTCTTCAGGCCCGTTAGAAGGTACACAGTGAGACTTCTACTACCACCACGCAGTTAGCAAAACAGGTATGTACAAAAACTTCTCAAGCTGCCACGTTAATGGTCATCTTCACTTTTTTGCCTCCACATGGCTAACTCTTAATCAGTTTCCTGCTTTTTTTCCTGGTCTGTTCAGGTTCCTGCACTGCAGTATTGCAGTGTTCCTGAAGTCCTGGCTCGCCTACACATCTGCTTCCTTATCTTCTAACACTTGGACGAGAAAAAGAGGAAACAGGAGGTTAATCCCCTTCTTACCAGTGACTTAGGTAGGGCCTCTTTACTTTCATAGCACTCGAACCTCTGCTTAACTTCTGAGTTCAGGAAACCAAATAAAAGATTTGAAAATTGTTTTGAACAGGCAGTGTGACTGATACTCCTGTTTTCAGGAATGTAGATGTAAACATACACAGATATTGGCTTTCCCAGTCAAAATTATTCACTAAGAATGCTTTCCTCCATTTCAAATAAATTCGTCACTGCAATATGCAATTGGCACGTCCTTGATAAGTAAATTTATTGCATCCAAAAAAATAAAGTTCTTAGTTGCAAAGAAAAATGCTTCTAAGAGTTTGAAGATTTGCTTTAATTTTCATCATTCTGCCTTTTTTCTCGACATAAATTTAAAAGGAAGAAAGAACACCTGTCACGTTTTGTACAAAAGTGCTTAGAAGCAATAGTAATTTCTTTTTCTATTTATGAAAACAGAGACTCCTCCCTTATTACCAATGTTTGGAGCTTTAATCTGCAGTTACAGAAACATACGTTGCAGTATCTGTGTGGTTTGCTTATAGTAGCACACAAATTAAGGTAGATGTTTT